CCCCAAAACCCCAAAACCCCAAAACCCCGTAAAAGAAGGGATATATTGAGGAGTTTTAAATTTAAAATAGGAGAAATGGATTAAGAGGGTTTTAGGTATAAAATATTTATAAATAAAACATAATCTATACTAAATACAAAGCATTCCTGCTTTTGTCAAAATTCTGAGGAGGAAATTCTTTTGTTTCTTCAGGAAGATTTTGTTTCTTCTTGTTGACTACATTTGTAAACTTCTCAGGGATATCTTCAATAGGTACAAGATAGGTATGGATGCTCCTTTTCACTCTCGGGTTTTGATATCTATCCAAAACGTAAGAATATTAATCCTATTCTGAATAAGAAGTAGAAACACCCTTACTCTGGTTCATCCATTGAGTGAGCTATATTATTTCTACCAACAATCTGAGAGCCTAGAAACCTTTTCTTCAAAACTTTTGCTATAAGAATTTTGTTATAAAGTCTTCATTCCAAAACAATTTCTGAAATTCTCTTGAGGTAGTTATGAAATTATCAATCATTCCTCGAACATAAATAGACCCAATTTCTGACTTACCTAATTTCACCACTGAAATTGTTGCATTAGCTGCATAGTTAGCTTAAAGAGTAAGGTAGATTACAACAACACTTGATGGCCACTTTTCCTTGCTATACCCGAACAGTAAGAAGGCAATAAAGCAAATGTAAAACATCTCATTTATGATCTCTGCTAAATTGTCAACCATATTTGGGAATGGATTCCACACGATAATGTAGAGGTTCTGGAGGTAATTAATGAACACGAAGATAATAATGAACACTAACATCTCAGTTTCTTTGAATCCTATCTGGTCAGATTATTAGCTTACATATTGTATCAATGCTTAAGCATGCACGACGAAGTAGGAAAAGTATTGGGTAGAGCTGACAGCCTTTAATGTCTCTGAATCCACTAAAAATGTCATCCATTCATCTTGGAGCAATTCCTTTCATATGAAGAAGTGAGTTATAGGGCAGAACAATGAGGATCGAGACAATCATGATTAAAGTGAGGATTCATAGCACTAGTGATAGAGAGTTCTCATTGTAAACAGCCTTGGCTCTTGAAATCTCTGTGAATCAAGAGAGGCACAATAGAAAGAAAATTTCAAGAATAAACTTAAGATATCCATGAAATAATAAGAATTTAGCTACTTTCATTGCGAAAGAATTCATTAAATGTTATCTTGGAACATGCCTTAAATAAAGACGCTGACAATGGAGAATGATATGGATAGTGACTATGATCATTATAACAGTACAGCAGCCTGATATGTTTATAAAGCAACTCCCTGAATGTAAGCCAATAGTATATACTGAATCATTAGGCTGTTCATACTTCGAAGCTTGCTGGAAATTTCTGAGGAAATTCCATTTAAAATCTCCACTTAACAAGAAAGAATTTAGTAATTTTAAATAAGTCACCACTTCGATAGGGAGCTCAACAGGGGCTAGAAGTATCAATAAAGTCAGCTGGGTTTGGTTGATTGCTGTAAAGATCGACTCTCGAGAGCTCAACTGTAGAAATGAAGTGATGATGTTGCATCACACGGATATTACTACTCACAAAATAGTAAGATAACTGATTAGTTTAACAGTGGAAGAAGGCTCAGAATACCTCAGATTTATTTTTCACAGACCAAGCCCGGATTCAGTAACAGGCATTCAATTCCAATTTTCCTCTACTGTGCTGCAATCTTGAGAGCAACCATCTCCGCTTACTTGGTTTGCATCATCTCATGCTTCGCCATCTTGCCTGATACCATCCCCACAAACAGTTTTAACTTGTTGAAGATTCCTATATCTTCACTTTGTACTGGAGAAAATTACGCAATTTTTGAAGTTACAAAAATTTGGTAAGTCATATAATAATTGTCAAAGATACGTTTCTTTTTGACAAAAGTCTCCAATAAACTAACTGAACAATTACCGATGATTCCTGAATTGGTCTGAGAGATGTCTGACCGGATCCAAACTAGCATCTATGGGTTTAGATATCATATCAGAACTATTCTTAGCATCTTTTGAAAGTGAATTATTATATATGCTCTTTATAACATTGATCTTATCATTAAGCTGAGATGTAATACTTCCCACATCATTTTCAATCCTGGTTGATGTTCTATTATTGGGTGAAGTCCATGCTTGAAGATGTGCTGGCTTCTTTATATAATCTATACTCCAAATTAACTTCATAAAGAGTAAATCCTAATCTTTTTCTTAAAATTAGACCTTCAAATGTTAATAAAAAATCTCATCAGAAGAGTATCGAATTTAAATTATTGGAGAAATATTTCGAAGATTCTACCAATCTTTGACAAAAAGAGACACATTGGCAACCAGTCAGTCGGGCAATGCTTAGCCGATTACTAGGATACTCCCAGCCGAGACTCAGGAGTTTATCCTAATCCTAAACTTTCTTTTCTAAAATTCCTTAGACTTTTCATATTTGAATCCTGAATTTAGAAAGAATTAAAATTAGCAATGAACCAAAAAATCAGCAAGAAAATTTTCCAAAAGTTTTACAAAGTCAAAGTAGAGTATTTATGACATCTGTGGAATCTTACTGGGGCTATTGGATCATTATTATCACGAAGAGGCTTAAATATAAGGACTGATGAGATCTGAAATTATAGCAGTCAAAGAGAAAGTCAAGTATTATTCATCACAAGTCAGAAGAAAGAGAATAGGTATTTCATAAAACAACAATGTCGCTTTGAGTTGAGGTCTTAAATACTACCCATTCCTTTCTGATGCATGCTTGTTTGAGAGAAGAGGCTTAATCATATAAGCTAGTGTTGTTGATATATCCTCGAGAGATAGACCTTGTGTGGAAGAAACTAATATGCTCAAGTAATGATAAAATTAAGAATTCTAAATTAGATATGAATTCAGGAAAATATCAAACTTTCAGTTATCCCAAAAATTGAGCTATAGCCTAATGATTAAGTATTATTTTAGCAATAATCAGTCTAATTCCTGCACAAAGCCTCTTCTTCTCAATTGGGGGTCTTTCATAAGTAAAAGATCATTAGTACTCCTTAAAAATTACTGGTAGTTTATTATATCCTGGTCGAATCAGAAATCAATAGAATTTTCGATCAGACCAGCTAATCATTCCTAGATCTCGTTTTCCGTCCAGAATGAAGACATAACGCTTTGTTTCACTTTAAAGAAGTTCTTAACAAAAAATTGGGTGGATTTTTAGACAAAAGAAAAATCAATGGGGATGTCACAAATGTCTAATTTTAGTTAAAAGTGCAAAACAAAGGTTTTAATCACCACTAGTATCAAGGCTAGTTAAGAAGCTCAACAGGATGAACACTCTTAATTAGGAGCATGGCTCCGGCTAAGTAAGCAACAGAATCTTTGATAATTAAGTTAAGGCTCTCATATTATCTTCTGTTAGAAATAATCGTTAATATCAGATACTTGATTGAATTGAGAACTCACTCTTGCCTAAATACTTTACCTACAGAATAGGACAAAGGGAAAGGCTAGGATTTAGCAAGATCTAAGAGTTGAAGAATAGAGGAATACTTCATAAGAAGCAAGGTGTTTGTCGAAAGCTGAAAAATAGAGATTTTGATATATTTTTAGACTCCCATTCTTAAGGTAATTTTAGAGCTGAGGGGTAAAAAGTAAGGACTATGAGCAGGCTCCTCATCATCTAGGTCTTACTACATCAGACAGCTTTCTTAGTCCTGTTCTAGTGAGGGATTAGTGATACAGCTCTTAATGGATCATTTTCACATATTTTACTCGGAAGAGAACCATAGATTTTGAGATATTTTTGGAGAAGTCTATCTACAAGTCTATTCCACTCAAAAAGTAGCAGCCTGCTTGGGTACTAAAGGTATAACTCTGAATTCAGTTTCTTATGAAGGATTGACAGAAATTTTTATAGATGCTTTTATCTAATTAAATCAAGAAAAGATAAACCCTTCTTGGCTGCATAATTGAGACTTGTGGCTGTTAGCAAAATGGTTGGTTTGGTAATAAATTCCTATATCAGAGGACGACTAGAGTTGGCCTCCTGTTAGCAGTAGAAATTTTTCAATAAGCTACTCATGGCTTTAAGGATAAGAAATTAGTTCAAACTGTTCATTTCGACAGTAAGCCGAATGAAACCTGATTTAGAAGCTACTTAGACCATAAGCTCTTTATAGATCGCCAAAAAGAGTAGAATTAGAATAAAACCTTTGATTTGGCTTTGAAACAAGTGCTGAGCTGGTGTAGGAAAATTTTCAGAATAGATTAGATATCTAAAAATTTACATATTACAAATCCATCAAAAGTTCTTTCTGATTTCAATCTGATACCTTACCTGAAAGTCAAAGCCAAATAAGCATTGCTCCCAGGATGAGGACTAGGATTACCAAGTACAGGATCTCCTTTGCTTTGTATTCTTGCCTATTCTCTTTAAAAATACTTGTTTTTATAATACCATATTGATTTAACTTCAAAATTAAAAAGAGTACTTGGGGTTTTGGGGTTTTGGGGTTTTGGGG